TCATATAACACCACCAGCTAATATTGATGTAGTAGAAGAGCGTTATGAAGTAATTATATGCGAACGCGAGAAGCCGAATGATGAACAATTAACGGTTCGAGAAGAAACTGCTTTGTTAAATGAACATCAGTTAGATACAACTATTAGTCGACAACAGACAATTCGACCAAAGCCATCACAATATGGACATGGTAAACAACAACGAATAATATTGGATGACACAACAAATTTAAATCGAGATGATTATCAAATTTTAAAACACCATGCATCAGAAGCGTTTGTTGAACAAAATGAAATACAATATGGTGACTCATTTGGACGAGCATCGTTAAATCAAATTAAACCATTAAATGCACCAAGTGTGGTAAGCTTAACAAAAACATTATGATAAAAATAGTATTTGAAAACGGTGATGTTGTTACCCACTGGAAAAAATTTTTTTGAAACACTGACGCGTTTAAAGTGCGTGCGATCTTTCATTTTTCTTAAAAAAGTTGCACTGGCACGTGCTTTAAACGCTTCTGTGTTTTCAAATTTTCCAGTGGGTAGACTTGTGTTTCATATGGATTCAGAATATCTCTACCTTTTGATATGATCTTAATTGCTGTACTAAATTAAAAATAATTATTTTAAAATGAACTAAAAGTCATTTCTAAAATTCTATTGAGAAATTCATCTGAAACACAATGATACATTTAATAACTTACGCTGCTTCAAACTTGAACAAAAATATCAATTTTCTCCTAACTGCGGTGATGGTATATCAGTAAAACGCTTACTATATTCATTTTTATCTATACATTTATTGTACTTTATTATTCAATGTCTCTACAGCTTTCTTCTCGAGTTTAACTTATGTGCGTATATCACACAAACAAAAATTTTATTATTTAATCTCGTCAACATTATAAGCCACAAAATTTCTAACGCTTCGATGTAAGCGTATGCGATGTTCTTCTTTCTTGTATCTGTTATATGTTGTAACCGTGATACAGGTAAATGTACATATACATATTGTCAATGTTGTCGCATTCAAACTGAAAAAAATACATATTAGAAACATCACTAATCTTCTGTCTTTCCCACATACATATAGACACATTTGCTTTATTACTCTCTCTTTAGCATTCTACACAGGTACCAAAATCTAGCACGGATAGTGATGAAATTGGATTAATTAAACCGTTTGTATCTCAACATGCAGTTAGTGTTGATGATGAACGATATTTAAAAATACGTTTAATAGCTGAGAAAACAAATCGTGCTTCAGTTGTCTATGATACTGAATGGACAAATGAAAAAACAACGTCATTGGTGTCAACTCCAAGTAATCTAAAACAGCAAGCAAATGATCAATACGCAGAGCAATTTAATTATCAAAAACCAGATATACGTCAGACAACATCAATATATTCGCGTGCTAAACATCAACTTGTTGAACAAATGGATAATGAACAATCATCCGAATTACCAGCGCAAGATAATCGATACCAGTCAATAGAAAGAGAAGAAGAAAAAGTTGCAAGTATTGCACGTCATCATAAACATCAATTATTAGGATTTGGAGTAATCGAAGATGAACAACGTTCAAGTATAGCAGATGAAGAAGATCGAGAAGAAATCGAACAAGAAAAGGCCAATGAAGTAATAATTGAGCAACTGGCGAATGTTACTCATCAGAGACGAAAAACGCAGTTAGTCCATGGTCTCATCCTCGACAATGATGAACATTGTTCAAGTTTGGCGGAAGACAGAAATCAAGACATTCGAGAACTAGCAACGATGAAAGAATTGATTGTTCCTGATACACTTGTGCACACAATTGATCAACGGAAACAGGTTCTATTAGGTCAGGGAATGCTCTTATTAGACAATGAATATCATTCAAGTATAGCAGACGATGTTCAAGATGACATTGAAACACTAGCTGATGAACAATTTGTCAGCGATACACTTATACGTGCCATAGAACAGGAAGAACAGCGACAACTAGGATACGGTCGCATTTCGTACGAAAATGAACATCGTTTGAGTATAGCCGAACAAGATATGGGAGAAAATGACCGTTTCAGCATAGCATTTGCAAACGAGACCGCAATTAATGTAGGAAGTGATAACGAACCATACGCTATTGATGGAAAGTCTCAATCATTAAATGCCCTAGTAGCTACATCGACAATTTTTTGTCGTCCAGCTCCTGTTAGTGACCATGACGATGATGATCTATCACTATTAAGCGAAGATTCAATGTTATTGCGTCATCAATATGTACCAAATACAAATTTAATTCAAGATGAAATAATTCTTGGCACAGATAAATTGACATTTGTTCAAGCATTCAGTTATCCTCAACATGAGCAAGAACACGTGGAGTTAACTCAGATTGAAGAACAACAGCAAATAACTTCTATCCCAGAACATGATCATATCAATAGTGAAATTCAACAACATACGCCAATGTATCTTCCTCTCATTAGTCAACTGGATGAACCGCAAAAAACAAGCTCCCTACTTCGATCTGTTCTTGAATTATTACATGACAATGTTAATGTTGAAAATGAACTAAATGAAATTGTTTTATCTTCATCGAAAATTACTTCACAACCGTTGTATCGCACAAAACCACTTGAAATGCTAGAACAGCATGGACAAGATGAAAGCAGACTATTAAATCAACTCGAAACTCTGGAACGAAGAGATAAAATTGATTCAATAACATTAACCAGACATGATACGATGACAGAATCTGTTAAAGTAAACCAACCGGTAGCAGTATTAAAGCGAAAAGAAGACGATATAACGGACGGTTTTGGTCGCGTTAATCTTGAGATAAATATTTTTCCTCCAAGACGCCAAAGATTGGCTCAAACACATGAAATGAAACTCGATGTACTAAAACGTCCACAATCCACGACCTCATCCTTCATCGATGTGGAAAGTTTTCTTAGCGGATTTGAAGATAGTTTAGATCAGCACCAAGAATCATTAATAGTCCCAACTTCACAGGAATTACCACTGCTTGATCAAGTATCTTTATCCCATATGACCTCATTAATATCTGATGATAAAGAAAGAATGAAAACGGAAAAAGCAATTGAACAGTATGAAAGAGAATCTTCATCAACAAGCCGAAAATTACCAACAGAATGGTATCAACAAGAGCCATTGAACGAAT